CTACGACTACTACCACTACTACTACTACTACTACTACTATTACTACTACTACTACTATTACTATTACTACTACTACTACTCATACAGGGTGAATTCATTCTCCTGAGGCGCGGAGGGAGAAGTGGATGATGAAGTTCTCAGCACAAAAATCATGCGTCATGTGCTGAGGTTGCTTGGTGCCCGAAGGGTGTATTATACTTAACAAGGTATACGTCTGTGTACAGCTATCCACACACGACCTCAGAATCAGATACCTCTGTACCTTCAAATTTTCCGGACAGCTTGAGTACCATAAAGAACGACCCAGACAATCCGCGGCTAATATCTCGTATGCACATCATCTCAGCCAGAGTTGAACATTCTAAAATCCTCACTCGTCTCATCCTGGAATATTGCAGCGTAATCTGCGGAAGCAATCTGATAGAATGGCTATAGAAATCATACAGCTGCCATTTACTAAACAATAGGCAAAAGTCTACCTTACACTATCGGGAGCGGTGCCAGCAACTAAATTTCGATCCGCTTTGGTTTCGAAGACTAAAGTATAACTTGGTACTGCTTTACAATATGATTCATAGCAATGTTTATTGCAACCTACCTACATTACCATTGCAGCAGACCTCTACTTGGAACCTACATAAAAATACTTTGCACCGGTTATACCATCATGCAAGAATAATTTGCGGCTTAGCTTCTTTCTACCTGGGTATGATTCCCTGTTGGAATCGGTCCCCAATCACAATCAGGTCGTGTGGGAGTGTGCAATCATTTCATAATAAGCTGGGAAACTACCTCGACCTGGACAGGATTATAACCTTTTGCTCATGGATAAATCACCTGCTGATCTATTTAATGAAGGCCTAGATAACGTCTAATGGGTGAGCTACCACAGCTGTACGCAATGTAATTAGCCCACAGCGTTTACAACATACTCAAAGTGCACCAGTGTCTTCCACCTTTGCGGAGAACACACATGTAAAATATCCACATTGCCAGAAACACAGAGAAATGTACGAACACAACCTTATCGCCCATGCATGAGAATGGTGTTACCGCATGTGTTGATCGTTTTTCCGAGCTTGGTAAAGAGATCGCATACGTTTCACCACCATGCGAGGTGGCATCTTCAGTACGGTAATGGGAGGTGTATAATGATGATTATTGAATCGTCAGTCAGTCATCCACAGGAAGGTGACTTTTGAAGGTGGCACTTTCGATTTGCGCCACGTGATTGCTGCCCATTTGCTTCCGCGGCTGAACCACGTCTTGCGATTCGCTGGAGATCTTACTTTCTGAGTTGATGGTAAATGAGGTCGATGTCGATGCGCATGTTGATCGAATTATTAGAGGATTAACATGATTCTAGGAACTCCCTTCCTTTCTGTGTTGTTGTTTGAGCTAAAATCACCGTTTTGTTCCAATTGAAGCTATGTCCCTCCTCATCCACATGCGTTGAGACAAGAGACGATGCATAATGTTTTTTACAAGCCCTCTGATGTTCTTGTATTCTTGTGGATAATTTCCTTCCTGTCTACCCCACATAGTTCATTTCACAATTATCGCAATTTATTTTATACACTATGTTTCTTCGTTCTTGTGCATTCCTAATGTCCTTTGGGTTTGACAGTATCCTTCTCAAAGTAGCGGTTGGCTTATGAGCGACCACGATGCTGTGTTGTTTGAGCAATCTGGCAGTCATTTCAGATATATTCTTCATATACGGCAAAATGACCCACTTGCTGGCATTTGGTATCGGCTCGGTGTTCATAAGTTTGTGGTTTAGACATCTGCGGATGAAGCTGCGTGGGTATCCATTGCGCTCGAATGAATCGAATAGGTGTTTCTCTTCTTCCCGTTTGGCTTCCACTGTACTGCAGTATGTTTCAATCCTGCGAAATAGTGTCCGCACGCAACTTATTTTGTGGTACTTTGGGTGGTTGCTATAGAAGTTCAAAATTTGGTCCGTATGTGTCCCTTTCCTGTGAATGGATGTTTGAAATTCACCATCGTTTGTTCTGGTCACCAACACATTCAGGAATGAGAGCATGTTTTCTGCCTCTAACTCCATTGTAAACTGAATCCCATCCATTTCATTGTTGAGCAGTTGGTGTGCGATTGCTACTTCACTACGTTTCAGTATTACAAATGTATCGTCGACATAGCGTATCCACGACTTCGGGTTAATAGCTAGTAGTAAATCTTCTTCCAACTTTTGCATGACGATCTCAGCGATCAAACCTGATACTGGTGATCCCATCGGTGCCCCCTTCACTTTATCGTAGATCTCTCCGTTGAACGAGAAGTAAGTTGTGAGACATAGTTGGAGAAGTTTGCAAATGCTTGCAGTCGTCATACTCCCAATTTTCTCATCTCTGTTGTTCAGGCGTTCTATGATGACTTCTTTTGCCAGTTGCAAATTGACAGATGTAAATAAAGCGGTGACGTCGAAGGAGACCATCGTTTCGTCATGATCTATATGCAGATTCTTGAGTTTCTCTGGAAATTGCTTGGCGTTGTTTACGGAGCACTGCGAAACGTTGAGTAGATGTTTGAGGCGCCTCCGCAATTCCTTCGCCAGTTTGTAGGTGGGTGTACCTGGAAGTGAAACAATTGGCCGCAACGGAGCACCGTCTTAGTGTACTTTTGGAAGCCCGTAGAATTGGGCGATGTTCAAGTCACGGGTTTTCATTTTATTCCATTCAATTTCTGTAATTTCTTTCAACTGTTTTAGTTCATGCAATGTTCTGTTTATTTGGTTTGCTAGCTGCGATGTCGGATCGTAATTAATGCGCCTGTATGTGCTTGTATCATTCAGAAGTCGTTGTGCTTTCTCAATATAGTCTGCCCTATCCATTATGACTGTCATAAGTCCTTTGTCTGCAGAAAGGATAGCAATTGACTTGTCGGATCTCAGGGCTTTCATTGATTCTTGCTCTTGTCGAGATAGGGCATTGTATTGCTTGACGTATGTAATGGCAAGGACGATTGTGTGTCGGATTTGCTCCCGTATCTCTTCTCCAAGTCCATTTGACCGTAGAGCGTTTTCGAATTCCGCTAAAACGCCGCGTCTTTGATATTGTAGTTCAATCCTTTGGTGAGTATCTGTCTTACTTAGCGGTCGTTTGGAAAGGTTCCTTATCCAGCGATCGTAATCATCACCGTAGTGACAGATGGTCAATTTTGACATTTTTCCATGAAGCGCGGCCTGCTTCTTCATTCCGGCGTTGTTTGCTCTGCGTTCGGTTGCCAACTGTAATTGTTCTGTTAGTTGTTGTCCCACGGTTTGCAAACAAGTGGCTCGCTTTACATCCAGACATCTTTCATATTTCTTAATACGATTATGAGCGTCCGTGATCATTATTCGTACCATGCGTTTTCCGAACTGACGCGCAACATCCCAAGCCCTGGGATGGTTTAGCCGTGGTCTGTAGTTGACACTGCGAGGAAGAACGCCTCTTCGCAAACAATCATGGAAGAAGGCTAGCTGCTGCCTTGTAGAGGCTTGCCGGCAAGCAAAATCCTCCCAACGGCAAGCGGAGATTAGCGTTGAGTGCCCGTAAGTATTCGAAATAATTTAGAACACTGGTAGTCCGGCTTGGTTGCTCATCTGTTGGTCGCTTTTTTCGATCTTGGTAAAGAGATCGCAATAATTGTGAAAGGAACTATGTGGGGTAGACAGGAAGGAAATTATCCACAAGAATACAAGAACATCAGAGGGCTTGTAAAAAACATTATGCATCGTCTCTTGTCTCAACGCATGTGGATGAGGAGGGACATAGCTTCAATTGGAACAAAACGGTGATTTTAGCTCAAACAACAACACAGAAAGGAAGGGAGTTCCTAGAATCATGTTAATCCTCTAATAATTCGATCAACATGCGCATCGACATCGACCTCATTTACCATCAACTCAGAAAGTAAGATCTCCAGCGAATCGCAAGACGTGGTTCAGCCGCGGAAGCAAATGGGCAGCAATCACGTGGCGCAAATCGAAAGTGCCACCTTCAAAAGTCACCTACCTGTGGATGACTGACTGACAATTCAATAATCATCATTATACACCTCTCATTACCGTACTGAAGATGCCACCTCGCATGGTGGTGAAACGTATGCGATCTCTTTACCAAGCTCGGAAAAACGATCAACAGTTGCGCAACCAAGCCGGGCTACTAGTGTTCCAAATTATTTCGAATTGTATTACCTGTACGTATCTAATAACTGTACCAAGCGTGAACGCAGCTTCTCACTTGATGAGAAATATACTTATTATTATTGTTATTATTAGTAGTAGTAGTATTAGTATTATTATTGATCCTGCGGCACTTATCAAGCACTTACTTCCCAGTCCTGCTTGAACTTTAACTTGAATTTGTTAGTATCCTCGCTTGAACCCATGTCTAACTCACTACAATCCGACGACAGAGGAGATCGCCTAGAAAACTTATCATTTAATAGCAGCAGACTCGAGAGGCACATCAGCTCTTTATGTGGGTGGTTTCATTTGGCTAGAAGTTTGTCGAGGAACCGGCTCAGATAGATCATTTTTACTATTCCCTTAGTTTCATGCGCGAGCGCTAGGACAAAAAATCCTAAACCTTTTCTGTTACTGATAATCGTTTGAAGGCCTCCTACAGAGTCCCATCCTCCCATAAGCACCTACCTGTGGCTGAGTACAAGTAAAAGTTGACCTTAATCCCCTAGTTCATGATGTGTACATACGTACACACGTATAAAGTCAGCTCAAATTTTGTGCACAAATGTACCAATATTCTCATTTGTATAATCGGCAATCAAAGATCAAAGTCATCCGTTCGATATGTTAGGAAATCCAGTATATCAGTAGTTACACAAACTAACTTCTTGGATCGAAATTCTTACTTGTGTATGAATGGTTATGTGGGGCTAAGGCTGTCTACTGAGCGTGTCGAAACCATCCAATCACGTTTCAGTTTGTAGGTTAACCGGCCTGTTCAGCCATTGGCCCAGACCACCTGAGATAAATGGCGGCGACTCGTGAGACTGCCAAAATGACGCGACGAAAATGCGCGGCGTTACGGCGTTCGCTTAAGCATGGCAGGTTGTCTCCGAGTGATAAGATTCAGGCACCGATCCAGGAGATGAAGAAGTGTTTGGGTCAGCTAAAGCGAATGGTCCCAACTATCGAACAGCACCAGAAAATCAATCAACTGGAACTTCTTCAACACGTGATTAACTACATTCAGGATTTGGAGGTGACTCTCGATCATCCTGCACAAATCCTCGCATCAAAATCACCGTGCCGAGAGGGAACAGATAGTGGGTGAGTTACAAAGGTATCGATTTAGTTTGTCAAAACACGAATGAATGTACTGTTAGCTTATTTCAACTAAACCCAGCTGCCACCACTATGACTACATTGTTGCTCTAATCGCTAACTTGCTCACCGATAAATCGATGTTTTTTCCCATGCTTATGTGGCTAATTGTTGCAAATAATTGCTGCGATGTATTCGCACTAGAACAATACATCTGCTATTGATCACCGAAATTTCTGTCATGATCATTCACGCTCCCAGAAGCGCTCCATGTAATGCTGCCATATAGTTGAAGATTTCACATTACCTCTAATTAAACACCACTTTTGACGCCGGCAACGCATTAACTAACCAAAGTGTTGTTGCAACATGTGCCCGTGGCCACGGTTTGTCTGCATTCAGATGCACCAACACTGAAGAGTATACCGGTCTAGGATATCCACTAGCTCAACTTGTAAGTTTAGACGCGTTCATGAAGCATTCGATCTCAACTTATTTCCTCGTCCCTTAACTCGCTCATTCTTAATCATTTCTCGCGTGCAGACTAGCGCTGCTTTCCCATGTTTTCACTGGGTATCCACTCCGTAATCCATTAGATTGCTCTGCGATCAATAACAGCCTGTAATGGTGCCCTAGCAGGTTGCTGCAATCGGTGTCTCAGTGTGGGCTCGCTCGATGCACTGTTTCTGTGGGGCCTATTACCACTGAGACTAACGAAAGTTGCCTCACTATTACATACTTTAACCAGTGTTTGTTGTGTGCGTGCCATCTTTACCACTTTCTCACACTTCCTCCTGGCTTTTCTACATAAACAATCGTCCGAATAGTCTGGGACTAATGCTGCTTATTCCTTGTCCAGTGACATTCTGTCCGATAGGCTGTTTTGGCCTCAACCCCGCGCTTATCGATCGTTCGACTGTGGGCTTGCAGGTGAATCATCTAACGACTGAACCCACCACGTTAGCCACGTGTGTGAATCCCGTAACCGGATGCCAGTTCAAAATGTGTTGCTTTGCGCGTGTGTTTTGAACGGCTTATGCTAATGTCATTTCTGTTTTCTTCTAGACACATCGTTCAGACGTGATTTTCGTTGGCTCTAGCTACGGAAGTGCAACCGCATTGACAGTGATATGTACAGTTTTTTGACACACTTCACCGACAAAACTATCCTGTTTGGTTTGTATGTATATAAGAGTAAATATGTTTTAATCAATTACATCTGCAAATTTGCGTGTCTCCTTGATTACATTACAGACTCCTGCTACATTTCTTCTTTTTCATTTAATGATGATTGGTATCAGGTTACCACCCTTGTCCATTTCGCCTTCTTTGCCTGGACCACTTTACTCACCCGGACTATTGGCTGGAATCATTGCAAGCAAAGGCTTGCGATTGGCACAATTTGCTCGTTCACTACTGGATAACCACTTTAAGGTGTATGCTGTCTGAAACAGCTGAATATTGTTGTATGCTGCCCGGTTATCGGTGGAATGACGCTGTTTAGGACACGATGTACTATAAGCGCCCTCTCGTAGATGCTACTTGCGTATGATTACCACCAGATTTCGGCCGTGCTTTGTTGGCTATGATACCCTAGGTTTGCCTACGGCATCTGAGTGCTACATTATCTATTTCCCCTTCCATCTTATTCCAAACGGCAGTGGTTGTATCAAAGTGAGGCTCCTATTTAAGATACCAGTATGCTGTCTCCTATGAAGATGCTTATGAATTCGCCTCGATAAACACCGTTCAGTATCTCGATTACGCCTGCGTGACGCAATGGCTGATATGTGCAAATTGGTACTCATGGTTTGTGATACGAATGTGGCCCGACTTTGGGCGTAATGAGCATTACCGCCACATCATGCGCTCTCGTTCTTTTACCACTCGTATCTCGGAACTTCGCCCACCAAGGTTGCGAAACCAAGGTTCACCTCTTAGTTTGTAAGTTATACTCATGGAAATGTATGAGCACGTTTGCGAAGAGATCTCTTTTAGACAACTCATCTTCGTGAAGGGTTGCGTTCCATCCTTACTAACCTATTGGGAACGCAGTTGTAGTATCATCGGCTAGGGTTACTAGAGTTAGAACTGCGCGATGAGTTATAGCTGTATTTCGAAAGTACCGTACACTTATGCGTCGCTTTTGTGATTCGCAAATGGCAGCAGGTCATAGTGCTGCAGTAGCACCCAACATTCTAAGAGGATGGGGGGCTAAACTCGGGTATTAGAAACTGCATGCCGAACTCCGACGCTATGAATCTCTATGGGCACCTATTCCATACAGCGATGCATTCACATTTGTTCGTTTACGCATGTTTGCTTGCTCCGACTTTCAAACATTTGACATCCGTGACTTCTGCCTTTTTTTATCCGATTCTGGGGTCTCCTGCCTGAGGTGATAAAACATGACTCAATCAAGTGACTTTTTGAGGCTCTAGTTTTAACATTGGAGAGGTAATTGCAGTCAAATTTGTTCAGCAATTTATGCCGTCCAACTTAACTATTTTCGAAGCAGCTAGGTTCTGCTGGAATATTCGCTCATCTCCTGTCACAACAAGAGATCGCGAGCCTCACTATTTCCATGGCTTCTGGTCCTCCAAGTAGAGAGATCACGCGACTGTGACTGATAGCGGAAATGATGCTGTGTTTTCTAGTCGACTGTTTTAACAATGGCACATTCCCATTTATCCCACTATTAGTAATACTCATTATGGTGATCCAATTCGGTAAACCTGTTTGTCTTCAAACGGCGATTCCAAATTCATGATTGAATAAACTCTACTTCAGTGAGCCAATTTAAACCCGTTGTGTGGTGATGATGAAGCCCTGAAAACAACCTTGTTCGCTACTTTCTGTTTCTGATGTCGTCTCCGGGAATTATTGCTCAATACGTAAACTGTATAGTTCTCGGTTGCGAGAAGCGGGGTTAGGTCCAATTGATTTCATGCACTCGCACTTCGCACCTGTGTGTACTTATATATCTTTAAGGACTGTATTTGCAGAGCTTTGCAATATGCATTCAAAGCCATTCGCGATTTCTTTGCAAGTTCCTTCAGGACATTCGCAATGACGCGACCGGTGCAAATTCTTCACGTAGCTGCCTGATGAGCTACTTTATCGGGGGTGCCATAGCTCTCAATCCCATTCGAGAAGCACATGACGCAGGATATGAGCAATGAAGTAGTACGCTTATGAAGGAATAATAAAGCAGCAGCATCCTGTACTAATGACATAACAACCTTGTCGGTTCGCTCTTATCCCAGTTGTAGATCTTTCCAATTGATACCCTCTGCCTCATGATGAATAACGAAGTTCAATTCGTCCTTCCCTATGCCCTACACTGTAAGCCCCCAACCCGGACTTGCACCTTCGGGCTTCGATGCGCGTCCAGGAGCTTGGCTCTACGCTGTAGATTCCGAATGGTCTCAACAGATAATGTAATTTTAAGGTGCCATACCTGAACAATTTTGTGACTATCCTCTGGTTTGTATTTTTCTTTCAGCAATTTACTTTTACCAATTAAATCCAACAACCACTTTATATCAAGTTGTTAACTTTTAGTTGATCCAACCCATCGAACGCACTAACAACAAACTGGCACGGGGTGGTAGGCTTGACATCAAGGTCTTACTCGCGCCTTACCTCTCAGTGACCTCGAGTTACACCGAAGATCGCTTAGGTACATACACTCTACTTCGGTCTAAAGAGAGAATCAGTGTTTGCGAAATCATGAATTTAATTTCATCACTTAATTTGACCATTCTGAAAATCATTGATTGGATTCTCCCCATCCCACTAGTTTACCAGCCTCCCATCATTCACGAAAGTGAACTCCAGGTCGTCGGGTCCCTCCTTTGGCTTATATGATTGATAAGCGAGAGAGCCATTACACTTCTTCGATGCACTGCACTTCGTCCCATACAAACCTTAGCTCGGAGTTGTTCACAAGACCTACTGAAATGGAGAGAGGGAAATTGCTAGTTCGAATGCGATGGATCAACTGCACACCAGTCGTCTCCTCCATGCGCTCACATCATCTGATAAAACACCATCTCTTGTTCATGGGTTGGTAACGCTTACGTTTCCATAAGCAAGCCTCTGGGCCTCCCACCTGACTTGTATGTCCGGTACTAATTGTGTTACTGCCAACAAAAATTAAAACGGTGCAATTTGTTTCTTATTCAGTTGTATGATTTTGTTTATTTCGTCTCTCCACATGATCCCGGCCTTGTACAGAACACCCCTGTCACGGCTCACATAACGTGCGTTTCAACTGCTGTCAATGTAGCGGAGTTCCTTTGAACTGTGCATCTAATACCTCAGATTGAATAAGCCCCTTATCCTCGTGTAACCCGCCAAATTGTGTGATTCTGCCTCCAACGCTCCAAGCAGTTCGTTGAGAGTCTCAGCGTTGAGGTTAACACTAGGCTTACTAAGTCCCACTGAGGTTATTCGCATTCAACCTTCGCACTGTTATAATGTTTTCTTCTAGACTCACTAACACTATAATCACGAAATTCGTGCTCGTTTAGCGGACTGCTTCGCATCCACTCTTACATCTGCTAAGCTACTGCTTTCACCCATAGAAATTCCTGCTTGAGAAGCCATGCAAGTAACCACTGCAGGTCCATCCGTGACCAAATCCCACATGATGTTCTCTCCCCTTGCTCATCCATCAGTAACGGCCGACATCCTGCTCAGAAGATGCATAATATTCACCTCGCTTGATGCGGTTTCATTGACCTTTTTACCGGCTCACCTGTTTCGCTGTCCATAACAATTGCTGACATTCGAGTAAGGATCCGAGATTAAACCAGTAAGCAAAGGAAAGCTATAAATCCGCGTAGAATTGTCGACGAATCACAGCATACTGGGCGACTCAGTTGCCGAAAGAGAAGGAAGGGACATCTTGTTTTGCTCAGCACAACGCTTACGCAAATAGAATTACAAATTTGGGTCGCCGTAATTAGTTGATCGGATTCAGCTGCGTTCCACATCCACCTGAAACAGCGAACTCCTCCGGTAAAGTTTACGAATTCATGTCATGCCACTCATCTTAACGGTACAGTTCGTACAGAATGTGTGTTACAACAATTCCGTCCCGATAGTGAATACTCTCCGGACGCTTAACTTATCACTTCATTCAGGTCGGTCAGCAGCTGCTACCGCTGCGCTGTGGCCCATCTGTGCTTGCAGCTGTCGCTGCGGCGACGATTCTCGCCGGGTGGCGCACCGAGTACTCATCTATCGCATGCAGCTGTCGGTGGATGAACCTAGCCCCCGCACGCGTGTGACAGCAGCTGCGAGCGTCACCTGCGTGCACATATGCACACCGGTTCACATACTCAGGTGGCGATACCATTTGGTCGAACAAGTGACACCACATGTTGTTACCGGCTGTGGACGAACGCAGTTTCCAGTTGGTCTGCCAACCATTATGTGTTCCGCTTTCATCGTTACTTGGCCAATGTGGGCTTTCTTTGATTTCATTCAATGCATGGTACACCGCCATCAGCTACGTTTTGTGGACATAAAACATAGCCACCCTTGTATGTTCAGAATTAAAGTCATCTATCTAATGCTAGGTTTACTGAAGAAGGTGCCTACAACTACTGAAATCGGTCACCTTGTATCACATCAGTTGGTCTCCGGCACTATCACAGGTTTACTGATATGTGAATGAAAACCGAGGTTATGCTCGACTTAAGCATTCGCTTTCTGTAAAATGCAGTTTAGTTGTTTAATGGTTTCACACTATTTGTTATCGTACATATAACTCGTAATTTCTTAAGGTTTTGCTGAGCTAGTTGGTCACGGAAGAATTTCTTGATTACAAGGCTGCAGTTGGGGAAGTTGCATGATATAGCTGGGAATCCATCACGAGTTCCATCAGTCTAACAGCACTTGCTCGGAAAAGCACTGTACGGCTGTTTCATCCTTTCGGGAGTCATCAGCAGTGCGCATCCCACCTGACCGCTGTGGGGCTCGCACAAGCAACTCGACTATTGCCAGTCTGTGGTTAAGACCATTGAGCTACGGGGGACGGTAGCGACTATCGTGACCAAGTTACTAGATAAGATGTAGTACCGCTCACTATACACTAGCTTGCACGTTACTACCATACAGCGGACAAGGTAGCCCTTGAACAACGAGTGATGATTTTTTAACCGTACCATTCAACACACCCTACTACGACAACAACAACAGTACATCAGCTATTTGGACTGATGCGTCGCTGCCAAACAACCATGATGACCTATG